TTTTTTTTTTTTTTTTTTTTTTTTTTTTTTTTTTTTTTTTTTTTTTTTTTTTTTTGAATTTTATGAAAGCTCTAAATACTGTACCCTGCCAAAACCCTGTAACAAGTTGATACAAATAAAGAGCTTTTTAAAAATCATATTTATGGTCGTTACTTTGTCTCTTTTAAAAAAAATAATTTTTCTACCTCGAATAAAGAGAAGGTGAAAATAAGGGAGAATTTAAAAAAAATTAATTTATTATAAATATTTAGTTTTGTTAATACCCCCACCGTTTTTTTTAAAAACAGTCACGTGACTGGCAACTTGGCAACAAAAATAACGGTGTCATGGCGGGATACCTTTGTTTACAAATGGGTTATACATTAGATTTATTATGAAACATTATTTAGTCTGATCATATAACTTACAATGGAAAAAGGTAAAATAATGTCCATTTCGGCTCTTATTTAGATTTGTTTATAATTTTAATTCTTTACAATACAGACTTATTTCTAACACTTTAATTTAGTCAGACTCGGTGCTTTCTATTATATTTATATTAATTATATTATTATTATTATATTAATATTATTATTATCTATCTATTATTATTATTATTATTATCATCATTAGGTGGTTTTTATATAGCGCAGTACCCCAGCCTAGAGCTAGGCTCACTGGGCTTCACATAAAAATTAGCAATTACAGAAACGTATGCATTGAAAAAGAATAATTGGTGAAAAGCTTGCCCTCACCGTCGTCCACTCACATACTATCAGAGACTATCTACCCCTGTCTAGCCATGGACAGCACCCAGCAGAATCAAGCGTTGTTTATCAGTGAGAGGGGGTTGAGAATGAGTCGGTATAGTACTACAGTTTGAAGAGATGGGTCTTAAGAGCAGTTTTGAAGGCAGTGATGGTCGTTATATTGTGGAGTGGATGTGTAATTGTAATGGGAGAGAATTCCATTGTTTTGGGGCACAGAAATAGAAAGATCACATAGCGTATGCATGTTTGCGGAGGAACTAAGCTATAATTTTTTTATACTATCATCAGAATATCAGTATCAGTACTATCAATATCGTCAGATGTGATATATTTAAGACAGATATCGGTTGTGAGTTGACTTACCGTCATAAATTTTCACTTAGTGTTAATATGTTGGTCTCTCACCGCATACAGTAGATTTTTGTCATGAAAAATACTTTGCAAAAACCAGGAGGTAGGATGGTAGGTAGGGTAGTCCTGGTAGAATAATATTAATAGCAGTATAGTGTGTTAACTTGGCATATATAGAGCAATGCATTCATAAACAACCAACAATAACTCAATAAATCATTAATGGGATTGTCTGGTTTTTCTGGAGATATCCTAAATGGCCTACTTCATCTTCAACAAAAAGAGACTTTGTTTTTTTTTAGTTTGGATGCATTAATATTAATATATTATGATATGATTTTGATTGTAACAAAAATTACTTAGACTTAAGGCCTAGTTATAATTAAGGCATCAAGGTGAGTAAGGGTGGTTTTCCACTGTATGAGATGGCTGGGACAAGCCACACATACTTCACATATTCTTATACTATAATAATGGTGTTATAAAATTTATAGTCTTTGGCTAACTGAAAGTGATAATCTATATTTTTCAATAATATTTCTAATAATATGCTAATAAGAATTTAAACCAGGGGCCAGAATGATCATCAAATTGATCGTGGGCTTTTTTTTAGCTTTTTTTAACCCCCCCCCCCCCCCAATCATTATAAATTTGTAACACTAATGAAACATTTTATCACACATGGTCAACAATTCATGACCCCCAACCCCATACATGTGACATAGTCCCTTACACCATTTATGCTTCATAAATTAATTTTAAACAATTGAGGTAATTTAATTTAAATTCAATACCTTTGCCTATGAAATTTAGTGATGAATGCATTTATTACATTCTTAAATTTTTTTTCAGGAGTCAGAAATAATTTGAGTATACTTGCAGAGGAAGATGATGAAGAAGAGAACAGTGAGGAATCTGATATTGAAAATGTAAAAATAAAAAAAAAATAATAAAAATTATACAATGTTATATGAAGTCAACACTGTGCAAATTCAAGGTTATGGGACCGCAGGCCCAGGGACCAAACATTAATTAAAATTATCAAAATTGTCTCTACACTATATTTTTATAAGACACATTTTTAAAGGAATACAAAATAAAATTGCATAGAATCTTATTCATTCATATCAGAGAATTCCTCTGTATTCAACTACAATGCTTTAAAAGGTGTAAAGTACCTTGAATTTTTTTGGGGCCCCCCCCCCCCCCCCCCTCCCCCAAATATTAAGGCTGCACATCTGAAAATAATATACTAGCTACACTAGCAACTACAAAAATGGATTTTCACGAGTCTTAATATTTCTTTAAAGCATTTCTTTAACAGCTTATAAATAAATAAATATATATATTTGTTAAGAGGGTGGAAGTTGGCAATGCCTGATTTAATCTTTCCTTCCGTGAAGCTTATGCTGTAAATAGTTGTTAACTTTTCTGTATGCTGTCACTTTGTTGACTGTATGGTAGGCTATAGATTTTATTATTTTTATTTGTTTATATTTCAGTCTGAAGAGGAGACAGATTCTGATAATGAAGATGGGAACAACAGAGGAGTAAAAATTGGGGAGCAAAATAAATTTGACAATCTTTGCGATGGTGTTCTCAATGCGATGGCTCTAGTACATGATTCTTTGCACGAAGTTTGTGCATTTTTTGATCAAATCTCATTCTTTCATTTTATTTTTTTAATGACTTCTGAAAATTTTTAACAATGGATGAACATTCATCACATACAATAGAACTGAAAATTTGAAATGATATAGATATGTAATAGCATTGTAGTTGAGCTTTATTTACAAAGCAGCTAAATTGTTCATTTAAAAAGGATATTAAATATTATTTACACGATTACTGATTTTTAAAAAATGTCATTAAAAATTTTCCTTTCATTACTATTGACTAAAATAAATTAAATGTTGCTTGAATGGTGCGTTTAAATGTAATATTCAACTCTCTCAGCTTCTTGAAATGAAGGATGAAATGTTAAAGTTCTCCCTTCCTCCAACTTTATTAATGAAAGTGGCAATGATCAGTGGCAGAATGTTTAGGAGGTGAGCTACTACATTTCTGAAATTAAAATAAGAAATTTCTAACTTAAATTCATAATATCCTCTGAAAAAGGCTACCTGCAGTAGGGTAAGTGTAAGATTTTGCAATATTATACCATCACTCCAGTTTTAGCCTTGAGGGGGTCAGTAAATTTTGCGCTGTAAAGTGGCCAATCAATAAATGTTGATATATTAATCTCTGTATACATTTTTTTACTCTCCATCAAACAATTATTATCTCAGAAAAAAAATTGTATCATGCAGCATCAGTGACCTAGGAATGCCCGTAGGTGAACTGGTTCGACTGGTTCATGTTTACTCCACACCCTGGGAAGAGAAGAGTGCAGCACTGAAAAAACTACATGAAGATTATGAAAGCAAACAGAGGCAGCTTAATATTGCCATCAAACGTTTACAGCTTGTTGATGCACATGTGAGTTATAGTGAGTTATAGTGAGATATAGTGAGTTATAGTGAGTTACAGTGAGTTATAGAGAGTTATAGTGAGTTACAGTGAGTTTTACTGCTGGCCGAGAATTGAACCCAGAATTAAATCTCCTCAAGGAAAAATATAATTGCTCTTTTTAATTAAAAATAACCTCATAATCACAGAAACAACTGTAAAATTAACAACTGACTTGCCAAGTTTTGTCACATTTTACGTTAGATAACTAAGATTAACATAAATTCATATCTTCATTTTCTAGTCGAAAAGAATTGCCAGAGAGAAAAGAATAATGAACTGGGAGAAACTGTTCTCTAAAATGACAAGTGCTAGAGGTCATGGTCGCAGGTGGAAGTTCTTAATTGAGACAATCAAGGAGAAAGCCAAACTTGGTCTTGAACATGTGCAGGCAAGACTTAAAATCTTGATATTTTCATAGGTTGTTTCATGAGTTTAAAAAAAAAGTTTAGTACAGAAATTTAGTTTAAAAAGTGACTCAGGTATCTTGGAATCACATGACTAATGAGTCACTTAAATATTTTGGAGTCACATGACTGATAAGTTACTTAAATAAAAATAAACATTTTGTTAGCTCCAAAGTAAATATTTCTATTAATAACTTCTTATGTAGTTCAGTGGAATGCTTACAGAATATTTATTTTAATTATAACCCAGGCTTACACACAGAGCTTGGCAGAAACCTCAGAATCTGAAGCAGAAGATCCAACAGACCAAATGCCAGAAGAAGGAGAAGTAAGCAGCCAGATGTTTCATCAAGAAGCAACCAATCAGAGTGACATTAATGAAGATAACAAAGAGGTGGAAGAGAAAGAAAATGAAGAAGAAGGAGAAAAGGAAGAGAAAGACAGCAGTGATGAAGATGTGGCTGGAGATACCGAAGGTAAAAACTGGAAATGATACTTTTACCCCTCATTTCTTAAGGTTGTGAATATCAGAGAAATTTAATGTGTACTATAATTGTTAGCAATATTGTTAGCTCTATCTGTTGTTTTTTTTCTCCAAGGAACTGAATCTCTTGTTAGTGGAGACACAGGGGGCACTGAGGGTGATGATGGTCAAGGAAACCTTGCATGGATCTCTACATCTCCTAAAGTAAGTTATCTTAACTTCATAGCCCAAACAACCTACAAACTTTTTATTTATACATCTATGTAACAGAAACCTTTGTAAGTCTGAGGGAGCTGAAGCAAGCTTCTTGAAAAAAAACTTGGTTAGTGTTCATATTTTTGTAGCTGCAAAACATTGTGTGCCTTAACTTATCTGAAGATATACATTTGTCAATGCCTAATAATTCTTGTAAATTACTTAAATTGTAACAGTTTTGCTATTGAAGTTTCCCATAAGAATTAAAATTAGATTTTAAATTGATTCCATTAGGCATTTGCTCAACAAAGAGACATTATTTATAATTATTAAAGAAATTTATATTTCCCAATGGTTTAGAATAATTTAAACAAATATTGTCTATCCAAAACAATCCTCTATTTTACTTATAATGAGAAGAGTTTAGATAACAGTATGTTATTACATTACAAAATCTGTATATGCGAAGAGTTTAGATAACAGTATGTTATTACATAACAAAATCTGTATATGAGAAGAGTTTAGATAACAGTATGTTATTACATAACAAAATCTGTATATGAGAAGAGTTTAGATAACAGTATGTTATTACATAACAAAATCTGTATATGAGAAGAGTTTAGATAACAGTATGTTATTACATAATAAAATCTGTATTCACAGAGAGTAAGGTTTGATACCAGTTCAACGTCTGCACCAGTTCGTCCACCTATGAAAGACGTTGATGTCTGGACAGGTGAACCAGATTACGACCGTTCATTGTTCATTAGAACATTCTGCCCAGAGGGTCTGAGGCAGACTGAACTGAAATGTTCCTTATCTTATGGTGGAAAAATGTTTAAAACTACTTTACTGGATCCTGTGGATGATCATGTAAGTAAATATAATGTTGCTTCCATCTGGTTGTGAATATAATGTTGCTTCCATCTGGTTGTGAATATAATGTTGCTTCCATCTGGTTGTGAATATAATGTTGCTTCCATCTGGTTGTGAATATAATGTTGCTTCCATCTGGTTGTGAATATAATGTTGCTTCCTTCTGGTTGTAAACATATAATTGGTGGCATTTATACCCATTGAAACAGATGTTTCATTAAAAAAGATTTACTAAGCACAAAGTCAAGGAGAAATGAAGTATTGGTATGAAACCCTAGGTTGCTTGGGCAGCAACCTTGGGCAGAGCTTGAACCTAGAGTTTAAGACAGACCAAAGTTCTACAACATGGCTACACCACTTGGGCAGTAACCTTGAGCAAAGCTTGAGCCTAGAGTTTAAGGCAGACCAGAGTTCTACAACGTGGCTACACCACTTGGGCAGCAACCTTGAGCAGAGGTTGAGCCTAGAGTTTAAGGCAGACCGCAGCTCTACAACACCACTTCATCAAGCTACAGACAGTTTAATATTAGTTGACGGGATATAAAAATTACAATACGAAAAAATTTTAATGTTATAAGTATCTTGATAAGAAATATGTATTTTTGGTACTCACTGACTGAATAAATAAAATATTTAGGCCGTTCCATAAACTTTTATCTTGTAAATCTCAATGCCAAGTTTACCCACCTTCTCCCAATCAGCCGAACGAGACGATAGTGTTGGTCTTTTGCAATAAATAAGTGGGTTTTAAGTGTTCATTTTGGGCACTGTTCTATATAGTTGGCTGCAAATAATATATAAAAAAATATTTACATTGGACATAGCTTAAAGCCAGCAGGAATCGGGCTCCATTTTAGCTTAAAGTCAGGAGGAATGAAATTTTTTCTCCTAATTTAAATTATGGTACTTTAAAAGCATGTAAATGATTCCAGTAAATGTTATTTTCAGCTTGACATCATGAGCCCAGATATGTTAGATGAGCGACCCAGTAAGAGGCCACAGGCAGCCAGAAAAGGAGAAGAGAGATCAAGTCTAGGAGGTAATCTTTGTACCTACATATTCTGACCAAGTCTAGGAGGTGATCACTGCACCTTCATATACTGACCATTTTTGTCTCATGATATGAAAAACTTAAATTAATACAATAAAATATTTAAAATTGTATCATTTGATTGTAATCTTGTATCACTAAAAATGTGTAAATATATTTATAGTACCTGGATCATCCCCTTTGAATGATTCAACTAAAAAGAACAAGAATAAAAGGTCGGTTTATTTTAACTTTAAACCTTCATTACCGCTGGGTTCTTTTTGGGAGGGGGGTGGGGGGAGACTGCGGGCGGGCATAAATTTTTGCTGACTCAGCAATAACACATTGATTTAAAAAAAAATAAAAAAATTCAGTTTTTTTCATTCTCTATCCGATCCACTTATTAACTTCTCTATAGATAAACAAATAAAGAAATATATAGCACTGAAATATGAGGTCGATGTTACGTCCTCGGTATTTCAGAAAAGTTCTTTGCCTCTTTGTTATGATGATAATGTGACGTCCTTGGTAATTGAAAGTGGGTCATCTTTGACATCATCGGTAACGAAAGGATTAATTTGACTATTAAGTCAAATAATTTTGTTAGTATAACCAAGTTATATTAAGAAATAATAAGAATAAAGCTATAGCCAAAAAATGCATCTTTAAAATTTATTAAATGTTAAATTTCCACTAAAATCTCCAGGTATTTTGAGTTCGAAATCAAACTCCCAGATGAGGTCAGAGAAGGAGTTCTGTCCACAGTGGTCCAACACCTTCAAGAACCAGACAATCTCCAGTTTGCTGTCCACAAAGGAAAGTATGAAGAGATCATAGCCATGGCCACCCTGGACTTTCAGGACATCAGAAAAATGGCAAGTTTATCAGTGCCAGACAATCACTTGGTGGTGACAGATGTTTATGTCAGTGTGACACAATCACTTGGTGGTGACAGATGTTTATGTCAGTGTGACACAATCACTTGGTGGTGACATATGTTTATGTCAGTGTGACACAATCACTTGGTGGTGACAGATGTTTATGTCAGTGTGACACAATCACTTGGTGGTGACAGATGTTTATGTCAGTGTGACACAATCACTTGGTGGTGACAGATGTTTATGTCAGTGTGACACAATCACTTGGTGGTGACAGATGTTTATGTCAGTGTGACACAATCACTTGGTGGTGACAGATGTTTATGTCAGTGTGACACAATCACTTGGTGGTGACAGATGTTTATGTCAGTGTGACACAATCACTTGGTGGTGACAGATGTTTATGTCAGTGTGACACAATCACTTGGTGGTGACAGATGTTTATGTCAGTGTGACACAATCACTTGGTGGTGACAGATGTTTATGTCAGTGTGACACAATCACTTGGTGGTGACTGGTGACAGATGTTTATGTCAGTGTGACACAATCACTTGGTGGTGACAGATGTTTATGTCAGTGTGACACAATCACTTGGTGGTGACAGATGTTTATGTCAGTGTGACACAATCACTTGGTGGTGACTGATGTTTATGTCAGTGTGACACAATCACTTGGTGGTGACAGATGTTTATATCACTGTGGCACAATCACTTGGTGGTGACAGATGTTTATGTCATTGTGACACAATCACTTGGTGGTGACTGATGTTTATATCATTGTGACACAATCACTTGGTGGTGACATATGTTTATATCATTGTGACACATTCACTTGGTGGTGACAGATATTTGTATTATTGTGACAAAATCACTTGGTGGTGACTGATGTTTTTTTATCATTGTGACACAATCACTTGGTGGTGACTGATGTTTATGTCACTGTGACACATTTACTTGGTGGTGACTGATGTTTATATCATTGTGACACAATCACTTGGTGGTGACTGATGTTTATGTCACTGTGACACAATCACTTGGTGGTGACTGATGTTTATATCATTGTGACACAATCACTTGGTGGTGACTGATGTTTATATCATTGTGACACAATCACTTGTTGGTGACTGGTGTTTATATCATTGTGACACAATCACTTGGTGACAGATATTTATATCTTTGTGACACAATCACTTGCTGGTGACAGATATTTATATCATTGTGACACAATCACTTGGTGGTGACAGATGTTTATACCTTTGTGAAACAATCACTTAGGGGTGGCAGATGTTTATACCTTTGTGAAACAATCACTTAGGGGTGGCAGATGTTTATATCAGTATGACCCAATCACTTGATGGTGACAGATGGTTATACCTTTGTGAAACAATCACTTAGGGGTGGCAGATGTTTATATCAGTGTGACACAATCACTTGGTGATTACAGATGTTTATACCTTTGTGAAAGAATCACTTAGGGGTGGCAGATGTTTATACCTTTGTGAAACAATCACTTAGGGGTGACAGATGTTTATACCATTGTGAAACAATCACTTAGGGGTGGCATATGTTTATACCTTTGTGAAACAATCACTTAGGGGTGGCAGATGTTTATATCAGTGTGACCCAATCATTTGATGGTGACAGATGGTTATATCAGTGTGACACAATCACTTGGTGGTGACAGATGTTTATATAAAGTAATATAGCAACTCGAATCAGTTTGTTTTCTTTTTTCTTTGTTAATATGTATGTGCAAAAAGACTATTGCAGCCTTTCAAATTAATTCCTTTCACTTAACATAGCTATCTTTAAAAGTGATTCTCTTCACCTAACATTGCTGTCTGTCAAATTCATTCCTTTCACTTAAAAGTTAACATTGCCGTCAAATGATTCTCAAAAGTGGCAAGAAGTTTTATAGTAAAATGTCTTACTGCTAACTTACTTTCCCTAGTAAAGATGGATCTATGGGCATATCATCATATACAATAAAGTTATGAATGAAATTACTTTAAAATATAATGGAATGTAAAGTTAACGTATAATAGTTATGCAAATAATTTCATTTTTATTATGATAATATTTATTTAAAACAATTTCAGACCTTAGAGACTGTGTACCTACCCCCTCCCCATGGTGATGATAATGTTGCTGGAATAAAATCTAGAGCAAATTCTTTCAGGTAAATTGTATAAATAGAATGTTGGATGGGTGATGAAATAATTGCAGTAGTATGTATCAGTATGAGCTTGAAAGGTGGGTGGAGGGGGACTCCATACAAATTATTTGTCTCATCTTTTGTAAATTTAGAAATGTACCAAGTTTTGCTGGTTTGCCCAGGGATGTTAGTGGGGATGCTTGCCATTAAAAGCAAACATGCTTATGAAGGCTGATGCTCTTTAAAATTCTTACATGAAAAGATATACTTATAAAAGTTTGATGATAACTTTGTCAATAAACAATTTATGTTGGTTAACTGGATGTTAAAATTTAAACTTCTTATCCAATAACTGATACAATTAAACTGACTGGCATGATATGACTGACAACTGATAGCTCTTGTTTGATCTGCAGAAAAATTAACCATCATCTTTTTAGGGGCCTGATTGCCAGTTTTGTTATAAAGTTAATAAATTTGTTTTGTTTACTTATAATCCCTAAGTTGAAAGTTTTAAATCTACATTCTGCAGCGACGAATCCAGTTTGAATGCTGAGTCACTGTCAGACTCTGTGGATATTCCCATTCTGATGGATGAATCTGGGGAGAGAATGGCTTCCTCTACACCACGAGAGGATTTGGTTAAAACGAGCGAAGCCATTCCCGTCCCACTTTACTCTCTACACTCTGGTAAATCTGATGCCATCCAAACGCCATCTGGAACATTGCCTCTAATCATTTACTGGGGGAAACGTGCTCGTCCTTTACATTTTAACAGACAATGTGGTAAGCAAATGAATTCTTATTCATTGACAGGTTAGGATCACTTAATTCAATGGCACGAAAAATAGAAATTGGAACTTTTTAGATTCACTCCCAGACATCTTTAAACATCATTCCTAACCCGCTAAAGAAATCTGTGCACGCTCGCTTAGGTACTCTGAAAATTAAACACTTGCTTAGGTACTCTGAAAATTAAACACTTGCTTAGGTACTCTGAAAATTAAACACTTGCTTAAGTACTGTGACAATTAAACACTTGCTTAAGTACTGTGACAATTAAACACTGGCTTAGGTACTCTAACAATTAAACACTTGTTTAGTTACTCTGAAAATTAAACACTTGCCTTAGTACTGTGACAATTAAACACTTGCTTAGGTACTGGGACAATTAAACACTTGCTTAGGTACTCAGACAATTAAACACTTGCTTAGTTACGCTGACAACTAAACACTTGCTTAGGTACTGTGATGATTAAACACTTGCTTAAGTACTGTGATAATTAAACACTTGCTTAGGTACTCTGACAATTAAACACTTGCTTAGGTACTCTGACAATTAAACACTTCACAAGAAAAACATAAGGGCTTATTTTAATGCCCTTGAATTTTTTCTTTGTAGACAAGGTCTTGAATTACCAGGGTAGAATGTTCTTTGCAGACAAACTTTGTAAAGTACCCATACCAGGGTAGAATGTTCTTTGTAGACTAACTTTGTAAAGTACCCATACCATGGTTGAATATTCTTTGTAGTCAAAGTTGGTATAGTAATGGTACCAGGGTAGAATGTTCTTTCTCAATTGATATTTATTTATTCCATCTTTACTCTACAATTTCTATCTCCTATTTACAGATCATATTAATTTATTGGATAAAGTCAATCAGAAATTGTAATATTTATTGACTTTTAGTTATGCTTAAAAAGTCTGTTTGTGTATAATTAGATACAAGTTTGCATAATGTGACAACATGACACATTCTCATTGACAGTTGGTGACCTCATTGACAGTTGGCTGTCGCTTTGGTAGTTTATATCCCTACAATTATTTCAAATGTTTTCTCAATCAGGCACTTTGGGGGTCAATGACCTGGTTTTTGAGCTAACTGGCCTTGACCTTGATATAACAACCAAAGAAGATCTTCACAAGGACATGGTGGATAAAGCATTGTCTGCTGCAGCATTTACACCAGAGGTAGAGGAGGTATGCTGTTTTAGCACAGAATACTATTGTATATATTTACACCAGAGTTAAAGAATTTAGGTCAGTCTTGTCACAGAATACACATGTACATATTTACACCAGAGGTAGATGAGGTGAAGCTGTCTCAATACAGCATTATTATTTTATTTTTGTTACTGATAAAAACATTGTAGAGTAGTTCCCCTTATGGGATATTGGATGCTGTCATAAAAATAATTTATGTCAGTGGCTAGTCTGAGAATGATAAAAAATTTAAATAAATATTAAACTAATGACCTAACCAACAAACTTTACAATTCTGAAATTCATTTAAATAATTTATGTTGACCCCTTTTAACTGAGACAATAAGTTAACGACAACTAAAGAAAATTGTACTTTAACATATAAATAGTCAGTGATTTTTTTCAAAGATTGGTTGATGAGAACTAGTTGGTTCAAGAATACACATTCTTTTCTTCCCTTTCACTCCTGAGTTTTTGTACAATTTCATCATAATTGCAGCATGAAATAATTGATGCAGATGACCAATCAGTGGAAGCTGAAGTGTGTAACTATTTCAAGAAATTTTATTGATGCTTTTAAAAGTGTGCACTGCTTGAAATGAGTGACTAATTTTTTCTTTTTTTTGATGTTGGATTCGTGGAAATATTTTGAGTGCTACTGAAAAGAATTTCATGGTAATTTTCAAAATGAGCAAGTGCAAAGCTTATGACATTAGTTGGAGGTATAAGATGTTGTCATTATTGCTATGCAATAAAATTTGTGTTGTGTAACATTTATATATTTGGTGCATATATCACAACTATAAATTGTTTTTATCCTTGGCTTTAACTAACCATTTTTAATTTCTCATTTGATGTTGACTTTTGGGATAAACCAATAATGTCATATTTTTAATAAACCGATAATATTATTTCTAAGTATTTTTTTTTTTCACATGTAAGGTATCCACATTATGTAAATGTCATTTGGAAAATAATGACGTCACATAATATAAAATATTTTCTTAACCTTGTATTAAAAATGTTGTTTTAATAGTGTTAAATAACCAATCATAATTTAACTCTGATGATAGAATTAGTTTCTCAAAAGTGTGTGGCATTTGGGCAACTCTAGATTTCCACTTCTCTCTGCGCCTGCGGTCTGTCACATTCCATTTAAAGGATGCTTAAGATTTCTTCAATCCTTCATAAAAATACATTTAATGAATTTCTTCTCTGGCATCAGATATGTTTTTTTGAAATAGATTGAAAGCTGTGATGACAATAGTAACATACATGAAGAATTTTATTTGTTGACCTAATTGAATGCCAATGTGTTTGTCCTCTCTGAGTTCCTGGGGACCAATTACTTCATTAACCTGGTTACAATATAGGTCTCACCTAATTTTCACTCTGATATTGGTACTTGCAGAGTTGCATGCCCACTGTAGCAGCTTCCTTTTCTTGGCTTTGTTTTGTCAAAGTTTGATGTCAGTTAGCAGTGAATTTTCATCAGAAAAATAAACTATAGGATATTCCTCTGCAAAATGAATTCCATCATGATTTTTGAAACAGAAGGAGGTTAGGTGTTTACAACAACAACTAATAAATAAAGAAAATAGCAACATGCTGGGTTCATTGATTGGCTGGGTTCATTGATTGGTAGACTCAGGATTTAAATTCTTTTTAACTTAGTTTGGTCATCTGATTAAGATATTATAAATTATAATTACTTAGGTTGTTCCATCTGACTAAGATATTATAATTACTTAGGTTGTTCCATCTCATTAAGATATTATAATTACTTAGGTTGTTCCATCTGACTAAGATATTATAATTACTTAGGTTATTCCATCTGAATAAGATATTATAATTACTTAGGTTGTTCCATCTCATTAAGATATTATAATTACTTAGGTAGTTCCATCTCATTAAGATGTTATAATTACTTAGGTTGTTCCACCTGACTAAGATATTATAATTAATTAGGTTATTCCATCTGAGTAAGATATTATAATTACTTAGGTTGTTCCATCTCATTAGGATATTTTAATTTCTTCCATTCTCCAGCAGGAAACAGTGCCTAGATCAGAATTTGACAAAATGGTTGAAAGACACCAGGAAGAAATGGTTTACATGCAGGATGAGTACGAGTAAGCTGTTTACCAAGTCTTTACTAAGACACTTTCCATCCCATAAAAAAAAAAAAAATTAAATAGACTGACCTCTTAGTCTTTCTAGAGCTTTTGCTTCAATTATCTCCATTTAATCTGTAATATTTAATAGGGTTAGACATTTTTCATAATTTGACTTTATTCAAAGCAAAAGCTATATGTCAAAATATATATCTAAAATGATCACATAAAGAATAACGTTTGATTACATGTGACTTAAGTTGTATTGTTGTGTTTGTGTGACCAGGAAACATATACAAGAATTACTGAACAACCTTCAAGCCGTCCAATCTGAGAACGCTCAACTATCACAGCTGACAGTTCAAAATCAGCGGCCAGTTTCTACAGCATCCCAACGACCCCTGTCTACAGCATCCCAAAGACCCATGTCTACATCATCCCGAAGAGGTTTGTCCAGCAATGTCACCCCAGTCACAGAAAGGCTAATGGAAGCTCCCCTTTCAGATGTTGACCACAAGCCTGTGACCCCACAGAGTGCCAGAAATGTCATTAGAGATAAAACTGTGTCAGATCTAGGAGATGGAAGAAGAGCTTTTGTGTCTGAGAGTATGCCAGAGGTCAAGAGGTGAGGAATAGATGATAAATGTTTGACCTTGTGTTACAACACCTTTAATTTTGTGTATTTTATTCTTGACCATTCCTTATGGACATTTTAATGCTATGAAGAAAACACCAGCCTCTTTGTGATATTTGTTCTCCCTGCCTGCATCTAAATAATATAGTCTGCTGCATTTTCTTGATTTGTAAAAAAAAAGAAAAAAGGGACAACAATGAGTCGGTCTTATAATGAGATATCACTTGAAGCTACTTTAAAAATAAGCATCAACCGTCTTACATGGAAAACAATTTTTAATATGAAACATTATTATATTATTATAAACTTGTTAATTTCACCTTGCAAATTATCAACATACAATAATACATAATCCAATCAGTGCATTCATTTCCATTCAATAACATTTGCATATCAGAAATAAAACTTGCATTTGTTTCTCTTTAGTTAAAAATGAAATGTTTACAGGCCGCTGCCCCCCAAGAACATGAAGCCATACAAAAACTTCAGGATTGGTCGACCTTTGCCGAAATGGGGAGAAAGTTTGCCTCAAGACGTGAGTCATGCTGTTTAGGCATTTGTTCATGGTAGCCAGGCACAGAGTGTTTTCTCTTAAAAGCATATTTGTCATTATCTAGACTACATCATTAATTATACCATTATATAAAAATAGTACAGTTATGTTTATCTCTTTAGTTCTGTCTAAATCTTTCTCTTTGCTAGAGTTAGATATATGGATAGATGGCTGGATGGATAAGTCCTCCAAAGGCAATGGCATTAGTCTACCAACATCTATGGGATTAGTCCACCATCTTTGGCAGGCTTGCACAACATATGCTGCGGCCCGCGAAGTAACGAAATATTCTTTATTCTTATTAATTTATTAATAGCTGTCCTATTTTCTTTGGCCAGCACAAGTTTTTCATAAAATATTACGGCCCACCTTATATTTTGAGTTGTGCAGGTCTTATCTATGGGATTAGTCTACCAAAGGCTAAGGGATAAGTCCACCAAGATGAATGGGATTAGTCCACCAAAATCTATGGGATTAGTCCACCAACATCTATGGGATTGGTCCACCACCATCATGGGATTAGTCTACCAAAGGCTAAGGAATTAGTCCAAACAAATCTATGAAATCTATTTGATTAGTCCACATATGTTATGGGATAATTACAACTTGTGATTTTGTCCCTTGCAACAGTTCTTTGAAAGGCTGAAATTGTGGGAAGATGAGAGCAAGCAACACAAAGATGAACTGAATGAAAAGACACTGAAGGACATTAAAGACAGCCTGGAGAAAAAATTGGCTGGTCAACACAAGCTCAGCAAGGATGAAGAAAAGATTTATGATGCTCTAAAAGGTGAGAGGAGTGCATGGTCAGTACTTGGCATTCAAGAGTGGGTGGAGTTTATGGTTAATGGGTGGAGTTTAAGATATGTGAGCGAAGTTTAAGATGAGTGGTCTGAGTGTAGTGTTCAGGGGTGGAGTTTTATCTCCAAAGTTGCAAGTGTGAAATGTCAAGATTTTATGTTAATCATCTAAGAATATTGAATGATTTGATGAATCATTGGTTTATTTTTGTCACTTTTAGCTGGGCAGTGATCAATGGTCAGAATGTATGGAAAAATCTTAAAATATAGTGTGCAGTCCGTGGTCAGAATTGATGGGATTTAACATAGAAAAATTGAAAATGTATCCCACAAAATTGTGTTAATAAATAAATGTTGACAAAACGCTCTCTTCCCCATTTCTTAAAAAATATTTACCTAAGTTAGCAACTTTCCACCCTTGTTAGTTGATTTAGTAGATTAACTCTGTACAATTAATTCTCAGATGTGAGTTTACCAGCTTTATTTATGCCATACAAGAGAGGAAATGTTTACAATCCCAGAGCACACCAGTATTTTCACCCCACAGGTTGGAAACTCTCATGTATTGTCTGTTGGCAACTTATTTTCAAACAACAGGAGCTTTTTATTTTTTTCCATCCTGGCAGATGTATACAATGACTACAAAAAATTCCCTGTTTTAAGGAATAAGATGTTTTATGGCTCAGAGACTCTTAGATTTCTTTCTTTAAGGCAGGGGTCTCAAACTCAAATAATCCGCGGGCCGCTGGAGGTAGAGTCTGAGTGCGACTGGGCTGCATCAAGTAACCCACAAAAAAAGTGATTACAAATTCAAAAAAGCACAACTGTTACAATGTGCTCAACCTTTATAATAACCAATAGAAACATTAATTGTTCTCAAGAACTAGGCTACACTTTTTTCCTTCTACTCCTTATTGCCAGAGACCTGGCAGCGCTTCTTCTTACACAACTGAGCAATATTTTGCTTTAGTGAGGAAGCAACTGAAACCCTCATTATAGCTTGAAGAAGCTCATAAGTATGTTTCCCCCTGAACTTTGACTTGTTAAAGTTCAGGGGGAAAAAGAGGTTTCACACAGATATGTGCTCCAAAAAAGGCACATGATCTGCTTGAACAACCTGGAAATCTCATGGAATGTGGAGGACAATGTTCTCATAAATTTTCCATGCTTGTCTGTTTTTCCATTCAACTCCCTGAAATTAGAATTGCAGTGAAGATCAATCAGCTCCATTTGAAGTTTAAAAAAAAAGGGGGGGGGGGGCATCTTCCACAATAAAGGAGAAAGGGTCAGCAAAAAGTTGCTCTGTGTGTTTTGAAGTCTAAAAACATGTGATCAAATTCTTTCTGTTGCTTTGCAATGGAATCAGTATACTTACTACTGAATGGTGTGCCTGAGTCCATGAGTACTTGGTATGTTGGGAAATGGCAGAGGTTCTTCTAAGTACCACAACACAAGTTTTGTACAGAATGCCCTGACATTGTCATAGGCAACACTGGCAAGCATACCCCTGGTCTTGTAACTTCTTGTTGTAATGTCAATAAGAACAGCCAAGTCCATGAGCTATTTGGGATCACTAAGTACAGGAACTACCACCCCATACTTCTCCATGAAGGCTTTAAATGCTGAAAGTGTTCAAACAGTAGTCAAGAGCAGACAATATTTATGAATTATTGATGCAAAGGAAGATGCTATTGTAGGTAGAATGAATTTAGATTTTTTAACGTAGCAAAGGCCTTTTGACTAACCTTTTTGAAAGTGACCAAGCTGACAGGCTAGGAATTCCCCTCACTCGTACACACTAGCATCAATTTTAATAGGGGCTCTTTGAAACTGTGTCAGATTGCACGATTTACACAATTATGGTTGTGAATTCCCTACTAACTGACTTTTTAAAACTTTTCTCAAAACTGCTTTTTTGCCATGTTTACATAAAATGCAAAAAATAAAAACGTTTGGTCCGACATTCAAACGGTTTTTACCATTATAATCATCGTCCAAATCTATCCAAACATAATACAAATCAGAAGAACCGTAGGGGAAGATGAGAATGGGGAAAACGCGCGGGCCGCATTAACACTAACTTTGGTGTCATGTAGCGGGCCGCAAAATATAGTCTTGCGGGCCGCAAATGGCCCGCGAGCTGCGAGTTTGAGACCTCTGCTTTAAGGAGTAAATATATTTTATGTCTCAGGGACTTTTATTTCTTTGAGGAACATAAAATTGACACAGTTTTTTTTCTTCTTATTTGTCATATCTCTTTACTTAGAATTATTCATTTCAGATTTATGAGTAAAACACTAATCAACACCGATATGTATGAATTGTTTGAAATTTTTTTTATTTAACTTGGTATGAAATATGAAAAAAGAGTATGTAAGTACATATTTTAAAATTAATGCTGTTTACTATGACCGTCTTAGGTGCAACTGAAGTGCGTCTGACTCAACCACCATCAGTATTCCAGTTACCACCCCTGCCTAACAGTGTATCCTTCTTAATGCACTTAAAAGTGATGCCTGGCAATCTTTTTCCTGAAATCTATTTCCTGTCATTCTATTGCCTGTTTTTGGCCTGTTTTTTATCTGTTTTCGGTAAATCTGTTATCTGTCATTCTGTTCCCTGTTAATCTGTTGCCTGTTAATCTGTTGCCTGTCATTCTGTTGCCTGTCATGCTGTTGCCTGTCTATCTGTTACCTGTTAATCTGTTGCCGGTGAATCTGTTTCCCGTCGATCTGTTGCCTGTCATTTTGTTGCCTGTCAATTTGTTGCCTGTCAATTTGTTGCCTGTCAATTTGTTGCCTGTAATTCTGTTGCCTGTCATTCTGTTGTCTGTCAATCTGTTTCCTGTTAATCTCTGGCCTGTTATTCTGTTCCCTGTTAAGCTCTTTCCTGTCAATCCGTTGTCTGTCAGTCTGTAAAGCCTTGGATCTCTTTGCAGTTGGAACTTTTTGTTTGGGATTTCGAATGTATACTTGGTTATTTTTTCACAATTTGCATGGGGCAGTCTTCAAACAATCTTTGTGATTTGGTTGTGCAAGAGAAAGTTTTAAACATTTGGGTAGAGGGCATCACATTTTTTAAAATCTTGGTGGTGGGGGCTGTTGTATGAGCCTGTCATTCTGTTGCCTGAGTCCATCATTCTGTTGCCTGTGTCTGTCATTATGTTGCCCAAGTCTGTCATTCTGTTTCCCAAGTCTGTCATTCTGTTGCCTGAGTCTGTCATTCTGTTGCATGAGCCTGTTATTTTGTTGCATGTGTCTGTCATTATGTTGCAAATTAAAACAAGTAGAAGTAAATAATGGAACAACTCTCTATTTCAATGGCAACCAGTAGCACCTGTATTCTCTATTTCAATGGCAACCAGTAGCACCTGTATTCTCTATTTCAATGGCAACCAGTAGCACCTGTATTCTCTATTTCAATGGCAACCAGTAGCACCTGTATTCTCTATTTCAATGGCAACCAGTAACACCTGTATTCTCTATTTCAATGGCAACCAGTAGCACCTGTATTCTCTATTTACCATAAATCATAAAAAACCCTTGACCACTGGCCTCAGAAATTCCCAGTAGTAAACTTGTTTGAATTGAGCAAAAACTTTCACAACCAGGGTCCAGCCTGGCTTGTGGAACGTTACATACAACAGCAGCAACCGCTCAATGACAATGGCTGTCACACCTCTAGACATACTTCACTTATACCTGAAGCAACAACTGTGGACCAAGCTCCGTTCACTGAGACTATGGTAAGATCTGTTCTATTTCAGGCACATTTTATAACTGGGAAATTTAGTGTTGATCTACTGAACTCAAGTTGTTCATTTTAAGTTATTTTTAAAAGCAATAAAAAATATCTGGAAAATGTGTGTATAGTTTCTACTTCATATTATGTATTGTGTATTGTATAGTTTTCCTGTTTACCACTGTGCAAAATTTAAGTTAAGATCAGAGGAGGACTCAAGCCAAACCTCCAAATAATGGGATAGAATTACTTTGATTGAACCTTGTAATCCCCTCGGAATATTTGTATTCTACTCTATTTTAAAGCCATGTTTGACAGATTCACATTACAATTGAATTGTTAGCAGTCATTCAAATGTGGGACAGCTTTATCATCTGTCATTGTCGGTGAGGTTTAATTCCAGCACTATTAGCAAAGGAAAGTGCTAGAAAAGTCATAATTTAACTTCTGGAAAGAACTCCTTGAAATACTGAAGTATTGTTTTATAAGTTTAGAGTTTAACAATTTTGAAAAAGCGTTTAGTTTTATACAATATGGTTAAAATTGGTCTTGAGAACAAAAATCTGATCCATTATAACCCCACCTTCTCAAATCTAAACACTTTTGCTTCTTGCAACATTAAAGAAATTACCGTGGATCTATTAGTTCAAATAAAATATTTATTCACCAAAAATTAATATAATTTTTCACATAACCATTATTGTATCTCTCATTTAGGATTCATCAAGTAGTGCAGGAGCCCAAGTTAAGAGAGAAGTTGAGTCCTGACTAGTTTAATGTTATACTAATATCTCAATTAACTGCTGATAACCAAGGCAAACTTATTTTGTAAATGTATTTCTTGTACTTGCTACACATTTGTACTTTTTGTTGTTATTTATTTTTATTTTTGTTGTTAATTATATGTACTTCTTGTTGTTATTTATTTGTACTTCTTGTTATTTATTTGTACTCCTTGTTATTTATTTGTGCTTCTTGTTGTTATTTATTTGTACTTCTTGTTATTTATTTGTACTTCTTGTTATTATTATTTGTACTTCTTCTTATTTATTTGTACTTCTTGTTGTTATTTATTTGTACTTCTTGTTATTTATTTGTAATTATTGTTGCTATTTATTTGTACTTCTTGTTGTTATTTATTTGTACTTCTTGTTGTTATTTACTTGTACTTCTTGTTGTTATTTCCTTGTACTTCTTGTTGTTATTTATTTGTACGTCTTGTTGTTATTTACTTGTACTTCTTGTTCAAATATTTATGTAAAATACAATGTTTAAAAATTGTTAAAACAAGCTCAACAACTTATTGAAAGCAAAACATATCCAAAGGGTTTAAACTGCTGAGATGCATTTTGATTCTCAATGAATTTGCCAAATATTTGTGTATTGTCTTTTTATATTTGCCATTCATAGAAGAGTTGTCTATATGAGTGCATTGTGCTATTTCCTTTATGTACAGTTGTGGTTTCATCATTACCATTCAGCTAATTTTACAGTCTGCCTGGGCCCAATGTGATATTCCATTCACACTCAAAAAAATTAGAAGTTACAGAAAACATATGTTCCACATTTGACTTTAGGAAATCAGTGACTGACCCCAGATATACTGCTCAATCATGAGTTAACAATGTAATTTTAAAAAGCTTCATTATATCATTTTATTTTGATAATATATAAACATGAAACCCTCATGTAATTAAAAGCTAATATGATAAAACAATTAAGTGATGTCCCTTAGGTCCTCAAAGAAAAAACAATTTGTAATGACATCATTAACAATAATTTGAGAAGATGAATTCAGTTGATGCTATGTGAGTGCTGCTATGTACTATGTGCAATGTAAATGTGTCATACTGTCACTGGTACTAGTTGAGTGCTGTTATATTGTCACTCCTATGTGCTATGTCAATGGTGTTATAACTGGTACCATGTGCTATATCAGTGGTGTTATCCCTGGTACTATGTGTTATGTCTATGGTGTTATCACTGGTATTATGCGCTGTCAGTGGTGTTATCCCTGGTACTATGTGTTATGTCTGTGGTGTTATCACTGGTATTATGCGCTGTCAGTGGTGTTATCCCTGGTACTATGCGCTGTCGGTGGTATTATCGCTAGTAAATGTACTTAGTGACCTAAATTGGGAAGTGTGCTGACCTCTCAATCACAGAGAAAAGAATGTTCAATTTTTGTTGTGTAATGAAGGTGCATTAATTGTAAACAAACACTATTTTGTGTTGTGAAAGCAACATTGGAGAGAGATTGTGTAGTTATTTACTGGAGAAATTAATAAAATACAAGTGATCTATTATGTTTCTTATACTTATTTTATACTTTTTAGGAGCATTTCATTTTTATTTGACTCTCAAAATTGTTTAAATTTATTTGGGAATAGCTGAATGGTCTGTGTGGCATTTTCTTTAATTGAACATTAGAGACACTACCTTGTTTAAGAGACTTATAAAACAGTACAGACATTCAAGAGCCTTCTTAGAAATGAAAATGACTTCATTTGAAAAGTACTTTAACTGGCCAACTCGTTGGTTATCATTTAGTTTCTAGAAGACCTGGTGCCGCTGGAAATGGTCTAGTTCTTTTCTACATTAACAGGCCCCCCCCCCAACACCCCAGGCCCCCCCCCCCTCCAAAAACATCATTTTGAACATTTTTTACCATCTTCCCCATGATCAGTGACCACTATGTTCCCTTGCCATCTTCATGTCAAATAATTTGAAAAGAACAAAAATTGAAAAATATAAATAAAAACACAAACAAAATGTTCAAATGAAAAAGATTTGTATTTTTGTTTGTACATCTTTTCTTATTGTCTTTCTACAAAACTACTGGGTTATAAGCCAGGGGCTACTCAGAACAAGATAAAAATGGATCTGAAAACAAACTTTTAACTTAAGACAATTGTGGAACATATCGTGTCTATTTTTCACTGTTTACAGATTGGGCTGACACTATGTGCTTAGTGCACATAAAAAAGAGTCAAGAAAATATGGATTCTTAATTGAATACATTGTACAGAAAACATCAACTTAAATTTTTAAAAATTAAATATCTTTATTTATTAAATTGAGGGTAATTAGACTCGGTTTGTAACACTAAGATAAAGGACCTTATTATGATAATCTATATTAGCAAGGAAGTGACTCCAGTAGGTCATTCATTTCTGGTTTACATTTAATGAGTCCCTCATTTTTTGACAACCAAAAAATCACCAAGATAAACTTGGTACTGTAATCAAGCATGCTGAGTCTTCAACACATGCCAGCTAAAAAAAGGAAATATCTGCTCAATGTTTTTCTTTTAATTAAGTTAAATGTTGGTGGCAAGTTTTCATTAGTCCAGATGAGCACCCTCCAGGCTGTGACTGAATGAAACAAACAAAAATACAACCAACCGTATTCGAACACAAAACCTTGTAACAGAGAGAAGACACCATTGAAATAAAACTCGAATTGAGAGAAAAGCAGACGATGTAACACAGGTGATAGCAAGCAGACAAAGTCACACAGGTGATAGCAGAAGAATTGTGCCGCACACAGGTGACTAACAACACACCTCACCACACTATATGGTACAATATGGTAGAGAGCACCTCTAGGTTGAACAACTAATACAGAGACAGACAGGGATCAGTTTGACCCATTTTTGTGCCTCATCTGACGGACATATCAGTTATTGTGGGCCAAACATTAACTCACAAATATGGCTACATGCTGTAAATGAAAGTTTTACAACGAAACGTTTTGATCCGATCTTCTCATAACAATGAGAAATAATCCACGAGCATATTTGTTGATGCTCCCCAACAAGAGAATCATTAAAGTTCTGCCACCAACATCAAGTGTAGATGCTTATGTGAGCTTGGTAATAAATATATATATTTATTATTTTATCACCAACTAGATCATTACCAAGATCATATGAGCATTACACGTGTTGTCATACAATGTCAAGGTTCAAACAGCAACTGTACACTAGTTTCAATCTAACATTAAAAAAGCAACAAAAAAACACAAGAATAAAAAAGAATGACAAACTCAAGTTTTGCCAAAGTCAATCAACAATTGTGCATGTCATTAGCAAATACCAGAAAACACCTTTAGATCACTCTGATCTTGTAAAAAATGGATTAAAAAATAAATTGAAAACAAACAAACCACCAACAAAAAAAATTAAACTCTTAAAAAATCTATAATTTGGTTTTGATGATAATATTTGAAAAAAAAAAAAAAAAAATTAAAATGTAAAACAACCAATTAAAAAAAAAAAAAAAAAAAAAAAAAAATAAATAAATAAAAAAAGAATAACAAACTCAAGTTTTGCAAAAGTCAAACAACAATTGTACATGTCATTAGCAAATACCAAAAAACACCTTTAGATCACTCTGATATTGTAAAAAATGGATTAAAAAATAAATTGAAAACAAACAAACCACCAACAAAAAAAATTAAACTCTTAAAAAATCTATAATTTGGTTTTGATGATAATATTTGAAAAAAAAAAAAAAAAAAGTAAAATGTCAATCCCCCCATTAAAGAAAAGATGCATACAAAATTAGTTTGAATAAATGTTTCAATATTTTTGTTGCTGTTGGTCATACTTTGTTCAAAGCAGCCACTAGTGAAAGGGAAATAACTGGTTTACCAGTCTTTAACTCTTCTTTCTCCTGGAATAAAAAAGCATATCTAACAAACCAGAGAAATAAATAGAAATGTTTTAAAGTTTTAATGACACATTGATCAAATTATGGATAGAACAAGTAAAGCCACCAATTGGAGACCTCACTTTTATGTACATATAAATGGAAAATATATCTTTCAAATATTTAGCATTGTAAAGTGCCCTGTCCTGTAAAAGAAACAAGGCACAAATTGTCTTGTAGCTTTTACAGATGAGACTTTTTCATTGCCCAAGGACAGATCATAAACAACAATCTCTTCAGAATTATACATGTGATAAATAATTATGGTATTGAAATAGGTGGGGACGGAGGGGGGGAGGGGTGGTCAACTTTTAATATTATAATTGCAACTGCCAAATGCTGCAGCTTTTAGCTGACAGGAAAAAAAAAGTTTGATATAAAATATGAAAGAACTAATGCAAAAAAATAATAAAGTGAGGCAATGTAGATTTTATTTTAACATTTAACAGGAGAAAAACATTTAAACTCAAATTTGTTATAAATAAAAGAGATGTTTTTGTTTAATAAAATTCGAAACTTGAAAAACCATTTGTTTTCTTAAAGTTGCTTGTGTTGAAGTTGTAATTTTTGTCAAGTATCGAATTTGGGTTTTAAGGATAATTCTTTTTTTGTTTTTTGTGGAGTAGGTTCTTCAGGAAATCATTTCAATAACTGACATGAAGAGCTTGATGAGGAAGGAACTCTCTTTTTTTTTAAGTTTAAAGGGAAAACACCAAGTAAAATTAGTATTTCTGGATCTTCCTTGTGAAATGATACAACCCAAGTGATCCTGATATGTATGAGTAGTGAGCCTTTCTGTTCAAAAGTACAAAGAGATGCCATTCAACATTATATTAACTAGCCCCACTAAGCATAGTTTGGCTCGATGATGGTCTTAAAATGTCATGATGGTTAAATGATGATTATGAAGTGCTGATGGTAAGGTCACGATGTCATGTTGGTAACCATGATGGCGAGTTCAAAATGTTTAGCTAATCTTTATTAGTAACACAATAGAAACATGTCAATCAAATAAATTTGACCTATTTCTAGCAACATGTTTATGGTATGTTAAAGGTGTGGCATTTGTTCATTGAAATGTCAAGTCAAGGTTCTATTTGTCTTGTCTGAATTCACTTTGTTAGTAATGTAATATATTGAGAATTTCATTTTTATTTTAAGTAGCAAATCATAGAGAATATCATAGAGATTTTCTAGAAAACTCAACATACAATGTTAAGTGAGTTATAATTAGGTCCATGGAATGCACAACAGATACAAATCATTGACATTTACTTTATAATATACAAAATCATCATACTCAACACACTGATAGGAAAGGGAGTCAAATGGCATTCACTTTATCCAGACAGTTTAAAATGGCAGAACATTTACTAGGCGGTAGGAACCATCCATTAATGTTAACAACATAACTAGCAGAGTTGTTCCGTGCATAGATGTTAACTACATGTTTAGTAGAGTTGTTCCATGATTATCTGGTAGGGCACATGCAATCTTTCACAGTTTTTTTAAAGTCTATTTTTAGTTTAAAGGTGGATTTGAGAAGGTTTGCAAAAATTCAAGTTTATAAACTTAGATATTACTTTTTAAAGGTTGCATATGTCACGATCTGCTTGAATGATGTCAGATTAGTATTTGAATGAACTATCAAACAGTTTGTAGAACAGCCTACAAGTGTTCTAAACTTCTTCAGAACTTTCCCATGTTGTAGATAGCTCAACTTAGCTAATGGGTGTAGCCACAATCATGGTGAAAAATACAACTTTAGTCAAACATAGATTGCAGATAGTTCTTTTTTGCTCTCACCATCTTCAGTTATATTTGTTAAATTAGCACAATGATAACATCAATCTCTAGATATATATGTAATATTATCTCAGTGACATCACTCACCAATCTGTCGATATATATGAAATATTATCTCAGTGATAACATCACTCACCAATCTCAAGATATATATGAAATATTATCTCAGTGATAACATCACTCACCAATCTCAAGATATATATGTTATCTCAGTGATAACATCTCTCACCATATCTAGATATTTATGTAATATTATCTCAGTGAACAATCCAAAAGATCCCATAATACTTTCATTATACCACAAGAGTTGTCCAACCACAACATAGCAGAATAGATAGACTTTTCATAATAAAACACCTCATCTCAACAAAACGATATACAACAATGACACCATCAAAACAGTGATATTTCTTCAGCATGAGTAAGGAAACAACACTTTATAAACAAATAATACCTTAAAAACAAAAAGGATTTAATTTTGCTCAGATACATAATGACTTACCCCATTTGGCTCTCAAGCAATGGATTTATTATAGATATTATTTTAAACAAATTGAATTATCAAGAACACAGAGGTCCTCAAATCACATGTAAAAATTCAAACACAAAAAAATATGGCATGGTTGGTGCCTGATACAAGTACAAGCTATACACAAACAGTTAAGGAAATATACAAGGAAATATGCAGAATACGTTCAAGTATAAATATTTATATATAATCTTCTATTCACACTTTAAACTTGTTTAAAATTGAGAAAATCTCAGTTAAATGAGAAGAATGATGATCAAAATACACCCTCTCAATCATGGTAGGAAATTGTTAATAGGTCAATATCAAAATTTAAGTGATTATTATTTCATGTTCACAATCAACTGAAACCACATACTACGACTTGAGTGCAGGACTTCTCCTATTATGACAACTCATTTGTCCTCTAGACACCTTTTTATATGCACATGTAAGTAAAAGTAGATTACCCTAATCTGAGACCAGCCCACCCCTCAATGCATCGTTATTTGTGGATTAATATAAAACACAGTGCTACTCAACTTGTGCTAACAAAATAAGAACCATATAGTATCCATCCATCTTGTGACAAATTATTATCATTATCATTAATTATTTACTTTGCATAAGATGGATGCCAAGTGTTATGGCTTCCAATAATTCTGTGATGAATATCTTTCATGGCACTAAAAAGCAGTCAACCAATAATTGATATTATTTGGATTATTAATTATCAATGATTGATGAGTATCCTTGGATAGGGCAATAAGTTGTAATCATGTCTTTCTGATGGACACTCAAGAAAAATAGCTTGACAAAATATCTTTTAAAATTGAACTTTAACTTTCAACAAAGTAAGTTATTAAATTTTCAACCAGTATATAATTATATTTCATAGTTGCATCTAAAAGATCACACTAGCTATGCTACAGCTTGAGACTCATTGAAAATTCATGTATATAGCAGACCAGTATATTAACACTGAGAAGTGAGGCTAGAATCTCTGAGCTCACCATTTCAATGTAGAATAAACAGCCGATTGAACCATGTCATAACTTAATATGTTCAAACATAAATACCAATAATCATCAATTGAGGTACACAAAAATAGTCAATGCTACATACAAATCAAACATAACTTTCAACATATATTTTTTAAGGCGACAACTTCTGTGCTGCCACAAGCTATTTGTATATTCTCTCTATACTTTAAGTCACGCTCATTCATTCGGGTATGTACAAGTCAAACTGATCAAGCAAGATACAATTTGAAATCAATTCTTTTTAACGTGGCTCCAATTATTTACAGAATTCTTGGGCGATAAACAAGGAGAGTTGTTGCACCATGACAAGGTGACTTGCTGACATGAGTAGGCAGCATCTGTAATAAGTTACTTTAGCCAGTCTTTCCAAAGATGAAAGTCTAATGTTCATCATCTGTTGAGATCTTCTCTCGGGTTAATAGCAGCGGCTGGTGACATGGTTTGGATAGGATGACCTAGTTCCTAGTGGGAATGTTACAGCTTTAACGATTACACAAAGATGGGACTGGAATCAAAAGTACTGTGAGGAAAAAAAATTGCGGTTTGTCCACTTGGTCAGTGTACCGCTAAATTCTTCAGCTGTGCTTGAACTAAACAGTTTTATCAACTGATTAGTCACAGGCAATAAATAACAGAATGTAACCAGGTATTTCAATGGATTATGATGTTATTTTTGCCTAATCTAACTGATGATAATAATGTACACGGAGTCAAGGATGTCACCATTTCTCATGCGTTGTACACACCAAGCATTTCATGTAACCTTCCATTACATGTTATGCTGTGCATTGTTTGGCACACTAAACAACCATGGCAAACATGGTAAACATTGCAAAGTGGTGGTTTATTAAATTTTAATGAATGTAAATGTAAGTTAAACAATTACAGAAAAATTCAACTGCAGGTACATGCAGATAACTTAAAAGAATACTGAGGTAATTCTAAACTATTTAGTAAAATGATTTTGTTACTAATTTTTATAAAACAATAAATTAATTTCTTTCATGCTGATGCATTTTTTTAAAATAATAAACATTAAATTAATATTTAAATACAAATTGTTCTAACAAAAATGAGTTACCTACGAAATATCTTAATTACAAAAATAAAGGAACTGAACACCTGTATTATATTAAGGAAATTACTTTATACAATAATTAATGAAGCTTTCATCCAATAGTTCAGTTATGTCGTTTTAAAATTTGAAAAATTACAAAGCCACTCTTCAAATACTCAGTTTTTCCATTGAACCCCATTATCACCTTTGCGAAAGATTCCATTTGCCCTTTTTTAACCCCAGTTATTCTTCCATCATAAATGTTGGTGTGTATTCAGTAACATAATTTACAAGATGCATGGTCCCTTCCATATACGGTCATGGTTTAGTTGTCCTTAGATATTCTAATGCCATTTTAGTTGTTATTGCATTGATATGATAACCAAGAAACACATGTAAAAATAGATTTCATGTACATCAATAACTGCTACACCATACCTGTAACAATAAGATGCTATTATAAAACTAGAAATGGTCCGTGGAAAACCATGTCAGCACAGAACCACACAGGACACCCCACCACTCCTTTACTAGGAGCCTTCTGTGCCTTTGCTTTCTACTTTCCTTTTCTGAATGTTTGCAATTGTTCACATGAATAATTTTGTGTTTCCGCTGGTGCTATTAAGTGTTGTTTACTTAATGTACACACTCGTGGCACAAAAAAGCTGCTTTTCTCATTGGCGCTAATCATTCTGACAGACAGAAAGAAAGACGTGTCTGGGCTTTTCTTATATATATATATATATATATTAATGACACTTGGTAAAATAACTGCCTTATTATGATGATTTATTAGGAGTGGGCAATAAAGAACTTGTATAATCTTTCATTTGACAATTCCCGCATCCTCAACTTATTCTTAACATAACCACATTATTTACCAATAAATTAAATATGAAATTATTTTTCTTTTAACATCGCATTACACTGTACTATTGAAGAAAAAAAAAAAGATACTTTTTTTTAAATCATATGATTGAAGCATAATTCTTTATGAAAGAACTTTGCCTTTCTGCCTCATTTCTCAAAGAATTTCATGAGAGCTAGCAATGCATTAAAATGGATGCGCCTTACATTAACCAAAGAGCAATTTAAATAAGTAATCAATCTTCTTTCTCTACAGCCAACAAAAATAAGATTAAAACGCATCAGTTCATTCGCTAAAGCCATGTCAAGATTCTTGCACTCAAAGAAAACAGGCACCTAAAATTATTATATAAAATTTCACAACAAGAAATAATTAAAAATATCTTTTAAAATCCCCAATAAAAGAATGACACAAAATATTTCCAGACTTGACAGTGTCTACTACAGTGCTGCCAGACTTGACAGTGTCTACTATAGTGCTGCACATCTATTCAACAACTAGAAAGCTACACCAGAAATTCAACATCTTGGTGTACTTGCTTTAATAAATAAAAAATACATTAGGGTTACATGAGTTGTTTACATATTTATTGATATAATAGATCACACAAGCATCAAAATGCTATCTCCTTGAGTAAGAGCTACCACTGTCCATGTTCTACATGTCATCAATGACTTGATGACAGGGAATGTTTCCTGTCATGCGATGGAATAAGTTTATAGTTTATAGAGTGTAAGCCGTCTCTTAAAAAATAATAAACTTGGAGAATTTTTAAGTCTTTTATAAAAGTGGTAGGTAGGCTCCAGAAGTTAAACACTGATAATAAATGTTAGGACACTTCTCAGTCTCAGTCTATATTTTTTTTTCAAGGCTAGACCAACAAAGAGCCTGGTGTTGGACAGCTGACCTCTGTCGTGCTAAAACTGTCTTTTATCACATAACTGACTGCCAGCATCTTCAAAGCCAGGTCCTCAGTACTGTGGAGCCCCCGACAGCAAATTAGATAATCAAATCTCAATGTTGGCATCCAGTATACTCTACCCTCTAACAGCCCATGTAAACTAGAAAATCTAATCTGTATGTAAATTGTTAACATCTGGGACGCTTTAGTCCCATATGGCCCATGTTTAGGCACATAGCTGTGTGATGGATTGGCAAGGCAATTGTGGTTGATGAAAATAATGGGTGCCCTTATTTTTTTTTTTAAAAAGAGGTAGATTTTGTTCACTGGCTTGCAGAGTGACAAGTTGGTTATAAACCATTTCTTGGAATCATAAGTTATCATTTTGAAATACACAACATATTTGATACATAGGAATATGGCTTAATGGGATTTGATCAATGTAATAAATTACTAACTAAAAAAAGTGTATTAACAAATAGTTGCTTTCAATCCACCCAACTACACGACATTTCATCTCTACATTTATCTTAAATCTGTATTGCTTTAATTTTTGTTAACTTATTTCAATTAATTGAATTTCATGGACAGCTGGAAAAGATTCTTAAAATAACAGAATGATTTTTTTCACAAATAAATCTGCTGGTTTTAAGATTAAATGGATACATTCTACATATAATAGTTTCTCATATATTTCTACTCCCAGATTATATTGAAATACTTCTGTCAACATAACTTTATTAAAATCTTATAAATCAATTCTTAAAAATTAAATGAACAATAAATAGCAAAAAGTCAACTTTAAATAGAGCAAGAACTAGTAAATATAGTCCAGTAACCCTAGCTAAATCAAGTCTTGACCTCAATGTAAATGTAGTCCCCTATCCATAGCTAAATCAAGTCTTGACTTCAATGTAAATGTAGTCCCTTATCCATAGCTAAATCTAGTCTTGACTTCAATGTAAATGTAGTCCCTTATCCATAGCTAAATCTAGTCTTGACTTCAATGTAAATGTAGTCCCTTATCCATAGCTAAATCTAGTCTTGACTTCAATGTAAATGTAGTCCCTTATCCATAGCTAAATCAAGTCTTGACCTCAATGTAGATGTAGTCCCTTATCCATAGCTAAATCTAGTCTTGACTTCAATGTAAATGTAATCCCTTATCCATAGCTAAATCTAGTCTTGACTTCAATGTAAATGTAGTCCCTTATCCATAGCTAAATCTAGTCTTGACCTCAATGTAAATGTAGTCCACTATCCATAGCTAAATCAAGTCTTGACCTCAATGTAAATGTAGTCCCTTATCCATAGCTAAATCAAGTCTTGACCTCAATGTAAATGTAGTCCCCTATCCATAGCTAAATCAAGTCTTGACCTCAATGTAAATAAATAAGATATGTGAGACATTCATGTGCTGCCATCATATACATCAGCGTAGTTAATGATTTTGTCATGGTAATATGGTAGCTGCTCACTACTTTATTGTCTGCTGCTCCTTACAAAAGTGTCTGCTGCTCCTTACACCAGTGTCTGCTGCTCCTTACACCAGTGTCTGCTGCTCCCTTCTAAAATGTCTGCTGCTCCCTAAAAGTCCTTGCCCCTCCCTTATAATGTGTCTCTTGCTCCCTGCTCAAGGCATCTGCTGCTCCCACCAATTTCTGCTAATTTTCCACTCTTGTCATGATCTCGTGAGAGTTATACAATTACAACCTATTTTCGCCTGTGCTTGCGGAATCTGTGTCGCCTGTACAGACAGTTATGGAGATTGGTGACTGTATCATTTGGTAAGTCTGACAAGGGGACAGAGAGCTTGCAGATTTCTTGGGAATCTTCCTCTGGAATCCATTTATCTTCAAGTCTGTACAATGAAAAAAATACAAATTGTTAGCATATTGTGTACATTTTTTATAAAAGTTAACAAAAGTACCAGGAATTTATTTCCAATTTAAAAATGGCTAAATTTGATATACTTTATTTTAAATGGAATATAGTGCAGGGATAATTTATATTATTTTTGAACTGGATATAGTGCAAGGATAAGTTATACCATCTTTCTTTTTAATTAAGCTTTTAAAAGTTAAAAGAATTTCTTTTCTAGCTCCCTTGAAGTGTTCAGGCTAGACCACGCCAATGTCACCACTTGTAACCACTGAGTGCACTGTCATCTATTCAACATTGCTCGCCATTTAATGACCAATGTCACCACTTGTAACCACTGAGTGCACTGTCATCTATTCAACATTGCTCGCAATGACTGGGAAAATAATTTGAACATTGGTTTCAAGCACTCACACTGCCGGAGGAGTGAATTCCAAGAGGGACTGTTTCAGGCCTAAATGTGTCTCTCGTCTGCCCACAACCTAGATTAAAAATGTTTTAGTGTTAGCATTTGAAACCACTTTTATCTAAAATATCAAGACATAAAGTTTACAATTCTATTTGCTGTTTTTATTTGGGTAAAGATAGAGAACTAAATAGCTTTAGCCATGTCATGTGCTACAGTTTATTGATATATCTGTACTTTGTTACTGTTTTGAAATATTTTCCGATTTGTATGATCCTCTTTATTGTCTACATTATTTTGTCAAAATTAGTAAGAAACTCAATGGTCAAATCAACCAGACCATTTTTACAATGTAAAATAAACAGATAATTATTGTGTAGGATTCAAAACTAATCCAGACTTTAAAGGGCAAAGCTGGCTTGTATTCAAAGATGAAAACAACAGCGGTGGACAAGCCCTCCTGGCCACTTGAAAAAATCCCAATTCTGGTGGACAGGTAAAACAGTATTGCTTACCAGACCCTGGAATGTTGTATGTAATGTGTTCCCTGAGAGATCAAGCCGGGTGTGCTCAGCCAAGGTGAGCAACTCTTGTTTCACCACTGCCATAGTTTGATCATCAAAAAAGTCACTCCTTTTTACTGGAAGGAAAACAAATAATGAATAATTTTTTATTTTAGAATAGTGGCTACTCAAACCATATTTTTCTAAAATATATGATGGTTAAAATGTTTGTAATGAACATTCATCAATGTAATGTGTTGGCCAACCCACGCCCACCATATTCCCTCCTACCCAATTCATCCATCTTTTACCAGCAAATAATTCAACTGCCTGACCCCGTCCCCCCCCCCCCCCCCCCCCCCCGACATCCACCAGTCTCCTCTAAGCATCACACATTATCCACCAACCTCCACCTTTTAATCCCCTAAAACCAGCTCCTGGACCTCTCAAAACTCAGTCCCATCCCAAAACCACAGCTTCACTCAATCATTCCCCTTAGACTTAAACCACTCCCTACATTTATAAAAAATCTTTTGGCTTCATCAAGTGCCTTACTACCCTTCTGAACAAAATTTCTTTGACTTTCTATACCCCTGGTCTCTTGCTGTCCCTTGATCACATGATCTGTGTCTGTCCCATCCCCTTGCTCACACCCTATCCTGAAATCCTACAGTTGGGGCCAATGATTGTTGAAAGGGAAGGGGTGCTGTTTGTACACCTTAACAACATAAAAAAAAAATCCCCCTTTCCCCTTTCCCCATCACCCACCAACCCACCCCCTCCCCCCTTCCTCCTTTCTAAACCCAGGTAACCAGAGCTTTCAATCTGTGTCAGCAACTCAAGTGCCACCATACAGGTCAGCACCAGCCAGCCAGGCACAATCAACCTTGGGGAGAGGGTCATGTGTGACAACAAAGTTTCTTGTTACAAACTTGACTGATTTGTGAGTAGAAAGTAAGTCTTTAAATAAAGGAAACAAAAATAATTTTAATACATAAATTTTGTTACGAAATAAAAATCATTGGACTGAAAAGAGAACTCTGTCTCCCACTCTTCAGACTACTACCCTCTCACAGAAACACCCTAACCATTTACCCCCTGTCACTACCTTTTCAGAGCCTCTAACTCTGGATCCCACTGACTGGTTACACAATGAATAAATCTAGAAGCTCCACAGTAACTGGGCCTAGAGTTATCGACTGATTCCGTTCTCATTCCTTGTTACAATGTTTCACTTATAAGCTGACCTACTTCTTTAAAACTGTCTTTTTTTAAACTATGTTATTTTAGAATTGATTTTTTTTCTTCAGAATGCTGAATATTAACTATCAATGAGAAAAGCCATGCCATGCCTCTGTGGTAGATTTCGGTGGCCTGCCACGACCTTGGTAATGGAGGGCTTGTCTACTGTAAGCAGTACAATAAATGTCAGCATGACACTTTAACCACTGGGCTGGAGCAGGTGAGACAGTAAGAATGTGGTCTCAAAAGGAAGAAGCTTAGACTTAGAATGATTTACATGTCACAGGATTTGTTACATTTTGTACAAGGTCTGACTGTTCTGCTGGACATGAGTGCTTGGAACACTCTAACAGAATTACAATCTTGATCACATTTGTTTCAATGGTAAATGATCATTAATCTATAAACTAGTACTATCTTTGAGTTCTCTCGTTTGGTTGTGATTATATATTTTTAAAAAAAAAATGATTTCCACAAGAAAAGTTGAAAAGAAGATCCTGATACAGAAACTGCCATTGAAGACATTCAAGAGGTCAAATCTCATCTCAGAGACCTGTTGTGGCCCCAACGAACAGAATAACAAGTTAAGTTTTAAATGAACTCTTCCACAATGTACAGGCTCTTCAAAAATAGAATGTGCCATTGCGGCAGTTGCATGAAATAGACACATTTGGTTTAATGTCATTCAATAAAAACTATTTTTAATGCTAATAACACAATGATCCTATTGGTCATTTTAAAGAAATAAAAAGTGTTATTGTCTTGTTTGTGAAAAATCTGTGTAGGTAGAGATGATATGAGAATAAAATAAACCTTTTACCCAAGAAAATGATTAGCTGTTTGCTAAAGAAGCCTTATGATTATTGACTGATAAAGAATCCAAATATGTAATTGTGAGATGCCATAGTTCAAGCACAAGTTCCATTGTATGAGTACTCTTTTATTATACCCAAACAATCTATTTTTAGGAAAATATGTACTTTTAAATAATTGTTTATGATATTTAAAAAACTCATAATGTGAAAAAGAAGTAGTCATCTAATGGTAATATGCAAAAATTGCATTAAATACCCTTCAACACAAAGTGCACCAATTTTTGTGTGGATAAATTTGAGAGCTAACGATGGATCTACTTACCAGCCTGCAGAGATCTACGTTTTAGTTGTCTTTTTCTCTTCTGTATCATCCGGTGGTTTATTTCCTCCCTACTGCGGCTACACTTGGCCCCATGCTGACTGTTGGCTGTAAAGTGGCCATTGACGTGCCTTTCTAGGGCCGCCTGAGAATGAAAACGCTGGCCGCAGTTGTCCAGGATGCATTTAAATGGACGGTGGCCGCTGTGTGTGACAATATGGCGCTCCAGCCATGAGCCGGACCACGAGGGTTTGTCGAAGACCTTGCAGTCCACCCACAGGCATGAGTAGGTCTCTTTTTCAATCTGAGTGTCTGCATGCTTGCGGATGTGCTCCAGCAGGTCACTGGCATCAAGTTCACACAAGCAGTCACGCCATTTACATTGAGCTGTTGATAATTGTGTGGGTGATGGTGGGTCCGCCCCCAGGGTGGACAGTGATGGCGATGAGGCGGATGCTGTTAAGGTGGGTTTTGATGACTCGGGTTGAGGTGACGCAGGCAATGAAGATGATTTTTGTGCATTGTGGTTCCCCACAAATGTTCTCTGGCGGAGACTGAGGACGATGCTATTTGGTGCTGCTATACATTTGCCAGACAGTGATGTGCTAGAATCACTATCTTTGTCATCACTGCTGCTTAAACTGCTCTTGCTGTTGCTGCTGCCTAAGTTTGAAGATTTACGTCCCTGAGTAGTGGCTTGATGAAGCTTTTGATGTGTAATGGACTGTGTTGATGGGGATGACATTGATGATGCTGCCAATCGAGCATGCCTGGCACCAGAGACATCATCTGAACAAGTGCTGGTCTCTAATAATGTTGAACCAACAGTTAAAGGAGAGATGTGTATATTTTTGCTGATGGCATCACAATGATTTGAAGCCTTGCCTGACAGGCAGGAAGGAGGAAATATTAGTGCCTGTGATAAAGATGGTGATGATGATACTACAGTAGAAAGGTGGTCTACTGTATCTGCTGCCTTTGTTTCCATCCCAAAGCAACTCAACGGTCGGGTGCCGTTTAGCGGGCCATGTTTGATTCCATTAAGCCCTGACTCCTGTTTGAATCCATTCTGCCCGAGAGCCGTGGAAATTTCTCTGGATGAGATGTGGCTAATTATGCCATTGGCATTACCCGTGGATGGAGACCTCTGAGTCCTCCGTCTAATTATCTGAACTCCAGATTCATCCGGATTATGTGCAGAGGTGTCCAAAGGTCTCTTTCTTGAAATGGTTATATTTTTTGTGTTGTCTTGGGTAACATCACTCATCTCACATGGCAATCCAGGAAATAAAGGCAAGGTTGCAGGTCTTGGGGAGCTGGCCGAAGCACTCCCGCACAAACACTTTTCCCCACTGCAGTGCTTTTCAGTGCATAAGACCCCCATTCTCTTGGACCGAGGACAACTTGTGGCAAACGTGGGAATAGAGGTGGTGTCCCTTAAACAGGGTGAGTCTTTAAGAGAACTGTGGTTGCTGCCCCAATGAAGGAGGTTGTTGTTGTGATTGCTGCTGCCTTTAAGATTGGAATATAAGTTATTGTTACTGCTGCTGTTAGAAGAATCTAAGCTCTTGGGATCACTGCTCCTGGTGTCTCGCCGTGCTCTCACGTGTAGGAAGTTTGGTTCTGGTCTGGAATTGAAGAAATTCAAGTTAAATATTTACATTTAGCAATACTTAATAGAACTGAGCAATAGGAGCTACACAATGACAGTTCCAAGATAAACTAATAACAAATCCTTAATCTAGCCTCATACCTTGTCTCTAAATGACCAACTCATTTGTGGGCAAAGTTTTTTTTAATGTCTTTTTTTGAAATAGTGGGTACTATGAAACAGTGGGTACTATGAAACAGTGGGTTCCATGAAACAGTGGGTACTATGAAACAGTGGGTTCCATGAAACAGTGGGTTCCATGAAACAGTGGGTACTATGAAACAGTGGGTTCCATGAAACAGTGGGTACTATGAAACAGTGGGTTCCATGAAACAGTGGGTACTATGAAACAGTGGGTTCCATGAAACAGTGGGTACTATGATTTATGTGAGGAGAGATGAAATAAGAAGCACTCAAGAACAAAATACTGGCTCTGAGATAAGGTACAACATATTAGCTGTAATATCAAGTATAATAAACTGATTCTGAGGTCAAGTACAATATAATGGCTCTGAGGTCAAGTGCAATATAATGTCTCTAAGATCAAGCAACTTATAATGGCTCTAGGGTCAAGTACAATAAGATGGCTCTAGGGTCAAGTACAATAAGATGGCTCTTAGATCAAGATCAATATAATGGCTCTGAGATCATTTACTTTATAATGGCTCTAGGGTCAAATAAAACATAATGGGTCTGGGATTAAGTACAATATAATGGATCTGGGATTAAGTACAATATAATGGGTCTGGGATTAAGTACAATATAATCGGTCTGGGATTAAGTACAATATAATGGGCTCGGATTAAGTACAATATAATGGGTCTGGGATTAAGTACAATATAATGGGCTCGGATTAAGTACAATATAATGTTTCTGGGATTAAGTACAGCATAATGGATCTGGGATCAAGTATTTTATAATGGCTCTGGAATTAAGTACAATATAATGGCTCTGAGATCAAGATCCATATAATAGCTCTCTGAGTTCAAGTACAATATAATGGCTTTGCGGTAAGTATGATATAATGGCTCTCAGATAAACTATAATACAGGTAAGTAACTAGCTAAGATCAACCAAACTAAAGTGAACCACTTTGTAATCCTCACTAAGGTTTACCACCAGCATCAGATTTAGCTCTAGTTCTAGTGCATCCAACATCATGTGTTGAAATGTGTCTTTCCTTTATCAAACCAACTAAGATCTTAAGCGGTGATATCTTGACTTGGGTCAACATTTTCTCAAAGTTAAGTACCAAATAATCATATGAACTTCAGTTTTAGAGAGCTCAACTCACCTGCTGCATGTTGGCTTGAGGCTAGTCATTGAATATGGTTTTAAAAAACGGTAAAAAACATTGTTTTGTTTTGGGGTGGGGGAATGTCCCCCCACATATTTTCAAAGGTTCTCAAATTCTACTGTGCCGATTCACCAAACTGCTGAACTCCATGTGAAGAAGCCTTTAAATTTTAAACTAATTTCAAGGTTTGTAAGCCCCTTCATTCATAGCTTTGAGAACCTATGATCCAATGTGTGGCTCTTGGGATGTGTCGTGGCAGGCACCAGCATTTGAATGTATTACATTTCAACAATGAGGAAGTAAAGTTATAAACTGAAGGAAAATATTCCGGTTGCTGGGTACGTTGTCACCTGGTTGCTGGGTAGGTTTTCACCGCCAAAATACTGAATAGTCTTTCAAATATTGTGTAAGAATTTGTTGAAAGATAAAACACACCAGTAACCATGACAATAACACACCAGTAACTATGACAATAGCAAACCAGAAAACATGGAAGTAACACATCAGTAACCATAACAAAACAGATATGCTTGGTATTGGCCCAACCAATGAAATCCATCCTAGAAATATATCTCAAAGTGAAAGCAAAGAATTTTTAGCCAAAACAAAAAGAGAAAAAGAAAAGCACAAGAGAGTTTGCCTGATGGGTGGATTTTGCTGAGTTGCTTTTAAATGTCATGAAGATGGCTCTAAATTCAGAGACCTGCTGCACATCATGGTATACATTTAGCTGGTATATATATCTTATTAACATAGCTTCAAGCAACACAAAACAAACAAAGTAATATGTCAAGGAAAGACTACAGTACTCTCTGTCAGGGTAGGATAACCGATTCCAGATGAACTCAAACACTAATTGATATCATCTCTAAATGATATAATAATAACGAAGTGGCTATTTTCCCCCGGTTATCAGAAGTGAAAGGGTGGGATTAAAAAACTATTTAAAATATCATGGTTGGGTTTGTAAGACAAAATGAGGTATCAAATGAAAGATAAATGAATGGACTATATGTTTGTAAACTTGCTTCTTCAGTTTAACTAAAACAAACTACCAAAAATGACATACGAATGAGATTTAGTCCAAAGGGACCCGGGTCCGAATAGCGGCTATGTGTACCCAATCTCTCACTTCTGATACCCGGGTGCCAATAGTCGCAGCCTAATAATAATAATAACAAAGTTCATTTAAAAAAACACGCTTCATCCCTAATTAAGGCTCGAAGCGCAATATAACACAAAACGCAAAAATACAAAATCTACATACAAGCCAATGGACAATACAAGGCAATATACATCAAGGAATATGAGCAAGCTCCTTGGAAACCAAGGAGGTAGACTACATCACCTCAGCAGGTGAGTGCGAAAAAGATGTGTTTTCAACTCAGCCTTGAAAGACTGCAGTGTCTGGCTGTTTCTGAGCTTGACAGGAAGGCCGTTCCAGATTCTTTGGCCAGCAAAGCAAAAGTGCGCCTTCCAGAGTTTGCTACTATCTGATGAACGGAGTGATCTAGTGGGTACATAAGGCGCCATGAGCGCTTTGAAATAGGCATACGACGGCGCCTGGTCATGCAAGCAGCGGTAACACAGAGTTGCAATTTTGTACTCTATGCGAATGCGAACCGGCAGCTAATGCAGCTCTCTCAGAAGTATTTTATCATGGTCAAATTTGCGTTTGCGCAGAACAATGCGAACCGCAGTATTCTGTGCTTTTTGAATTCTATCCAGGAGCGCGGAAGATGCACCATGATAGCACGAATGTAGACATCAGACCCCTTGATGCATTAAACATTAAAAAAGGTCTGATATGACTAATTCTGCGCAGCTCTAGAAAAATCGCCTTGCAAAGCATTTTAATATGATTTTCCAAAGTTAGTGTTATGTCTAAGTAGACACCCAGGTTTCGCACTGTTAGAGCAAACTCAATCTGCACACCTGAGAGAGTAAGGGATGGTGTTTTAATTACAGATTTTAGCTTTTGAGCGGTAGAAATGGGGATCAGCTCAGTCTTCTCATCATTCAATTTGAGCTTGTTTATGGTCATCCAGTGCTTAACTGACTCCACTGTCTTTTGTGTCATACTAAGAAGCTGAGGGAACTATACCTATCTATATATCTACTAGTATAAGTTATGTAACCAATAAAGATTTAGAAACAAGGCCATAATTTCTCTTCAATTGGGTTATTCAACAAAAGATTCTGCCACATGCTACAAAAAACATGTCCTTAAAACCAGTCATTTTCAAGTTTTCAATGATATTTTGTCATACATATTTATTCTTACCATGAAAATGGATTGATAACATTGGCCAACTTTCTGGTGAATTATTTGAAATTCCAAGCCATGTCATTTGAGAATGTTAATGAATGAAGACTGTCAAGGCTCACCACCATCATTCCCCAGTCAAATGAACTGTGCACAATCAGAAGTTTACTGCAACCTTTTCAAGTCACGGGTGCTTTATCAGATGGTTTACACCTAAGCCCACAAGCGCATATAGAATTAGGCCACTGCAAAGAGAAGGGGTGCTACTGGTAGCATTTGGGGCTAAAATATGCTTTAGTAGTACGGGTGAATCAACATTTGACATTACGTCATCAGGAATAGCTAGCTCAGCTGTATTGACTGTAGGACATGCAATCTTACTGTGTGTTGTATAGGGCAATGTTATATCAGTGTGTGCTGTATAACAGGAGAGGGCAATGTATATCAGTGTGTGCTGTATAGGGAATGGTATCTAAGTGTGTGCTGTATAGGGGAATGTTATATCAGTAATGGGAAATCCAAGACCAAGACATGATCTAGTTTGCAGACCTCCCATTAAAAATGAACCATCAATAATATTCGAATATCCTGAGTAAGACATGTTTACATCTGATTTATGTATGTGTACTATGCATGTGTGTACACATATCAAGCCCATATTATCTCTGTTCCATTAGTTGTGCTGGTATCATCCAAGTTAATCTAACCTGGTCATACTGGTGTTGGTCATCTCACATAACCCATTAGTTGTACTGGTATGGTCCAAATAAGTCTAACCTGGTCATGAGGTCAATATTTTTAGTCAGAATTATGGTCTACTCTAGTTGAATCCAAGAAATCTAGTTCCTGTCACATGACAATAAACTCATACCAACTCTCTGCAGTAGCCGGTTAAACACAGCGTTCTCGGTTAAACACAGCGTTCTCGGTTAAACACAGCGTTCTCGGTTAAACACAGCGTTCTCGTTTGGTCTTGTCGACTGAAGAACGCATCTAATCCAAACGTCCTATTTTATATGTCTTGTCTTTTCATTTCAAGCCTAAACCTATATTGTTCCTCTATTTATAGTTCCATCAAGCACTACTGTAGGTATGTACTTTTATCTCTAACAACTCTATGCACTGCCCAGTTCCATAGCAGCCAACCCATCAACGACAAACACTTGTTACATGACATAACTCCACTTGGTGGCCACTTACATAAGACGCCAACCAACGACATACAGCATGTGTTATACATGTCTATCAACATTGTACGTGTGTTGCACCTCGAATATTTTACATGTAGACCAACACGACAGATGTGACCCCTTGTTAACAGTAATTTCAAGAGGATACCAGCCTATTCTAGCGCTATGCCTCGATCAAAGCAACAGACAAGGAAAACACATCTTGGGGCAAAGCAAATAGTGAGCA